CCCTCGTGTTCCCATGATCTGGGGCCATGCTCAAGAAATTGATTACACTGGTACTGGTCAAATGCTGAGGAGCCATCATAAAACAATGATGGCACATCAGAATACTACCTTATATATTATATGTGTGTATATATCTATATACATTCTTTTTTATCGGCCACTACAAGACTGAACCTTATCGTTTTTTCTACTCCTTATCGTTTTACAGGTCAAACGCTATCTCAAGACACTCCTTACATAACGTAGACAAGCGGGGTTATTATACAACCCTAAGAGCTTTTTGTGCTCTTCCACCAAATGCATCGACTAGCATCCCTGGCCATAAGCCTGAAGCCACATGTCCCAAATCCTAAGCCCTTTCAACCCCTAGCCTAAGCCACCTCCACCCATGCTGCCGCCCGCGAAATGCTGGAGTTGGCGGCCAGGTTTCCCTTCGAGTCCCGCCGACCTTTGGCTTGGTGCTCATGCTCTGAAGTCGGCTCTGAGGTCTTATAGGATACCGGATTTGCAGCCTAAATTCAAGCCACGTGTGGGAATGTACAGCTAGGAATTGCACAGCGAAAGAAATGGACGGCAAGGGGATTGCGCATTGTCAGGTCATATCAGGTAACTGCAACCCGTTCACGAGAACATGGACCTGAAGTTTGAAGGCCAGTCTACATTCAATTCTCCCTTCTCTTGTCCAGTTGATTGCCCACTGACCCTAACCCGTAAACCATACAACTACAGTTGCAAACATCAAAGCACAGCTAGCAGGTGTATAGGATGAAAAACTTTGTAATCTGGATGTCTTGAGGAACTTAAGTAAGTAATCGCAATATGGATATATGGCGAAAATAGAATTCCTACTTATGGCACTCAGCTCAAGTTCCTTCTCCGCAAGCTGGCCGTCTGAGAGTGCAATGAACAGCTACAGGAGAGCTCACTGCTTCGCTCTCTAGGCAGGATTACCATTTTTAATCTTCTTACTATTATGACTTTTACCCCTACCCCTCCTACTACTTCTTCTTCTACTACTACTTCTACTTCTTACCATCTTTATTGCTTCCGGCGTCTTCGACTTCATGGCTGACTAAGTGAGCGGGAGCGAGGCATGGTTGCACCCGCAGCAACCTCGGGACCCTCGATGCCCCTGGTTGGCCTATACGGCTCTTGTCCAGCAACCTCTTGGGAACCGTGGGCAAACCTCACTTCCCGTCGCGTGCTTGGGTTAGAGCTTTTGTAGGTCAAGCCTGGTCTCCCTTGAAGTAAAGTAGGCACCCACATTAGAAGCCATAAAGGCTCATTGCGAGAGGCCGGTAGTCCCATGTTGGGCTTCCACGCTAGTTCGGGGCTGGTAACCCCAGAAGCATGGATCAGGCACAGACCGCTGGCCACATGCGTTGGGGGCGAAGGGAACGAGCCAACCTGGGCACTTGGAATCCAGCAGGTATTTCTCAAAGCTTGGGTCCTGAACTACTTCAGTGGGAAATGGGCCACAGATCTGAGGTCCACAAAGACAGAACCAGGAGAGGCGGAAGCCTAAGTCCCACATCATCATGAAACACCAAATGAAGTCACTGTACCACCCGACGAAGAACCGTCAACGAGTCGGGATTACTTCATCACGACCAATGCCAACGATAGAGGAAAACGTGCGTAGCGATATGGAACAGTAGGAGCTGCAGTACCCTGCTACTACATCCGCAAGAATGACCCAATGGCAACTCCATGGAAACATGTTCCATGCAGCATTGGGCCCAACAGCACCTAAAAGTATATTCTAACGGAGTAGCAACTAAACTGAAAGGGTGGACCTGGGATTTAGGTGACATACGCTGCGATACCAGGTGAGTGATCCTGAGTAACCCCAAGGCACACCTAAGGCATGCATAGTAACTCTGTGGTATCATCGAGCTAGCAGCCTTGCCCCAAACAAAGCCAAATCTAACCCTATGGCACAATGTCTTCCTAAAGAAGCTCTCTTGTAACCTGAGGGTAGGGTGTGACCCTTTAGGGTGTAACCCTACAAGAAGTCCAGGAAGGGCGCAACCTCATCATAACTCCAACAGCTCAAGCAGAACACCCTGCAATCCCTTCAGAAGTTGGGCTCTCTGGCTGTAGGTCCTGGAGAGCTGCTCACAGCAGGGCTGGGCAGCTCATCCACCTCCCACCAGATATCATTAAGGGTTCAAGCAGGCTTGGGAGGCGGATAGGAGATCTTCCACCAAGTAGAGGAGCAAATAGGGGCATGCGGGAGCCTTCCAAAATTTCTATGGAAACGCGTGTAATGACGCATTTTCTTAGCATGCTTTAGGCGAACTCCCCACAAGGCTAGTGGGCACAAACATTTTGCAAAGCATCTTGGAAATAGCTGCGTATTCTTGGACATAGCTGCGTATTCTGGAAGTATACAGAGACTTCAGGCTTGGTGCAGTGGGTCTAAGGTATCACCGCCAAAGAAAACTTTGACCCTCCCAGACCTCCTAGATGGTTCGAAAACTTGGGTGCCCCTAGTCCCAGGATGGTACATACTCCTTTTTGAAGTACCCCAGCAAAGGGACCTTTTTTTGAACCTCCCCCCCGTTCATCCTACTGGCTGAGGGCCTATATACTTCCCCCCAAAACTAGATTATAGGGTATATATATATATGAATGATATAGGGATAATGGAGAATCAAATAGAAAAGAAAGAGGTAAATGGAAACAGTAGATATACAGGGGCTATATAGGAATTCCCAAAACTGCGAACAAGTATCCAAAACCCCAACATCCTGGGCACGTCAACCCCCATGACCCTGTAACCCGAACCCCAAAAAACCCAACCCCTTCAATTACCAAAGTACCTATACCCTGTACAACACTGGAACCAAACAAATTATATATATATATACATATATACCTAGACCCTCCTCCTACCCTCTATTAGGGCCTAAGTACCCACTATTAGGGATCATATATCCCCAATTAAGGGTACAAGGAAGCTCCTGGTATATAGGTACTTGGATCCTCAGATTTAAGAACCGCAGCAGCCTCCAAAGGTGATCGAGTCAAGGCCGTCCCCCAGCGGAGTGCCGCCCTGGGCTCCGGGCGGCCGGGGACCTGGCAGCAGCTTGTCAAACAGGGAGCCCTTGCCACCCTTTTGGGGTCTAATGGGATTGAAATGGGCATTTTGGGGTGGCATAATTCCAGGGCATATGGACTATTTTGATTGGCTTAGCGGGGATGTTCATCAGCAGTTCAGGGAGGTATTGATTGTCTTGTAAAGGTGGGCTGAGCGGACATATTTGACGTCCTTCATCTGAGCAATGGTTTTTATTCCTTATTGATTTCTTTAGAAATAACAACACTTCCGCCCGCGACCTTCCGCGGAGCTTCCGCGAAGACTAGTTTCCATCTGGTCGGCACTTCCAAAATATCTTGCTTCCACG